CGTCGTCTGTCCTTCCGTCCTTCCGTCCGTCCGTTCACTTTTGTGTCGCATGTAACTCAAAAAGTATTTGACCTAGAGTCATGAAACTTTACAGGAATGTTGATCAGCATGTGTAGTTGTGCACCTGGATATTTTCATCTGGATATTTTTAGTATTTTTAGAGTTATTGCCCTTGACTTAGTTAAATTTTGCAATTTTCAACTTGTGTCGCATGTAACTCAAAAAGTATTGTACCTAGAGTCATGAAACTTTACAGGAATGTTGATCAGCATGTGTAGTTGTGCACCTGGGTATTTTCGTCTGGATATTTTAAGTATTTTCAGAGTTATTGCCCTTGACTTAGTTAAATTTTGCAATTTTCAACTTGTGTCGCATGTAACTCAAAAAGTATTTGATCTAGAGTCATGAAACTTTACAGGAATGTTGATCAGCATGTGTAGTTGTGCACCTGGAAATTTTTGTCTGGATATTTTTAGTATTTTCAGAGTTATTGCCCTTGAGTTAGTAAAATTTGGCAATTTACAACATGTGTCGCAGGTAACTCAAAAAGTATTTGACCTAGAGTCATGTAACTTTACAGGAATATTGATTAGCATGTGCAGTTGTGCACCAGGTATTTTCGTCTGGATTTATTTAGTATTTTTAGAGTTATTGCCCTTCACTTAGAAAATTTTTGCAATTTTCAACTTGTGTCGCAAGTTTCTCAAAAAGGATTTGACATAGTCATTAAACCTTATTGGCAGGTTGCTCAGCATATTTTAGATTTGCACCTGGGGTTTTGCTTGTTGATTAATCCAGTATTTGTAGAGTTATTTCCCTTGACTTAGTAAAAAAATTGACAGAACAGTGGCGCGGTGGGGGCCCCCGTGTCCTATGGACACATTTTTAGTTTAATTTCTGTTTGTTGGTGATGGTACCTCTGAATACTTTTAAAGTAATTTATTCCTAAAAAGGTTTATGAACTAAACAATCAATCCTAAAAGATTTTTGATGGTGGGCCGAGTCCACCAGTTCAAAGTTTGATTAGGGCCGAGTTGACCCTCTACTGTTTTCTTGCATTATCGTAGGGCTACTTAGGATTAAAATTACTTGCTTAGAAAACTTTGAAGCATTTCCATATGGTAATTCATTGCCATAAACTCAAAAAATACATATGTAGTAATGTACATCAAAACTATCAACTGTACAAAAAAATACTGACCAACAATTTCTGGACTAGGTACTTTTTTCTTATATTATCTTGGAATAAGATTGCTTGCTTAAGGCTGGTTGTTATGTAATGATTTATTTCTACTAATCTACTTCACAAGTTTTTAAGTGTATTCAATAAAACTGAACATTGATTAAGTAAAACTTTACTTACTATGATTAAAATGAAACAATGATTTAAAATAAAGACAACTGGTCATATGTTTACATTAGCAGTGGAAAACTGGAAACATTTAAGTGTTACATGAAAGTATGTATAAAACATACTCGGCTCTATATTTACCATTGATGGCAGCATAAATGGAATGCGCCCATCATTGACTTTTACAGTGAGCATTTTAGACATGCCCAAAATACTAGCTTTGCTTCCGTTTTCTTTTGTGATATGTAAACATAATAATTATGTTCATGCCAGCAGTCTGAACTTCCTTGTTTATAAACTCATCAGAAAAGACAAGCAGTCTTCATGTTTCTGCTTGTACTGCTTCATATTTTACTTGTAAATACAAGCCAACAAGTGTACTTATTGATCTGAAATTGTGAATTTCTGTATTCTGCAATCAAGTATTTAAAGTTACATACAATAGTATACATGTATTTGTATTAAAATTTGACTTTAACATGTTTTGTTGTCATGCTGTTCCCTCAACATCCCCTATATTGAGGCATGTGGCCCACTAGACCCTCTTTGAGACAAAGCTAGATTGAACACAGTCACTGGAATTTATTCAGTGATTTTTTTACTTTTTTCGCATCAACCTATACCCCTGAAATTGAGAATTTTTAGCGCGATAATCTGTCAAATTGTGAAAAAATAAACAAGAATATATCATCACCTGTAGTCACTTTATTCATTCATTTTAATAATTATATTCATGACATAGTTTCAGCTTTCTTCTTTTTATTCCCTCAAGTATATCAATCACATTCTCAAGATTGTCATTTGTCAGTTTATTATTTTGTTTGGTACTGAAAAGCAATGCTGCCAATTGTGAATTTTTTACACATTCAATTTTTTTTCTGCCAAGTAGATTTGACAAAATAAGACTTGCTACAAAACCATTTAGCATGACATGGACCTTTAATTGACTTCTACCGTCAAGATCAAATTAATGAATTCTCTTGTTTTTCCCATTGCTTTGTTATTTGCAATGAATTAACTTCATATTTGGACGCTGAGGACCTTCGATCATGTATAACAAACTCAAATTGACCTTGACTCGTGTATGACCTTGACGGCCAAATGATTAAATGTTCACTGATTATTGCTATAATTGCCTGTAATTTGGTATTATAACTATGGATTATCTTCATACTTGAACAAAACAACCTTTAAAAGGTTGAACTGACCTTGACCTTAAGCTTTAAATGACATTGACCCTCAAGGTCAATTTATTGAATTTGGTTAAGTTGTCTTAATTTTTTTATGTACAGATTTGATTTATACTGGAACAAAACCAAGACTTTGCCATTATATTGTTCACATTTTGCCTTGACCTTTAATTGACCTTGAATATCAAGGTCAAATTAATGAAATTCTCTTATTTTATCCTATAGCAATGAGATTTGGACTATGTGCACAGTTTTAGATGTAAAATAGAACTTTGATATCTGCTGATCTACATTTGATGAAGTGACCTACTTCTAAACTCAGCTGACCAAAGAACAGTGAAATAAATAGTTCCCAAAATTGACTTCTCTGTATTTTGATTTTTAACAATATTTAATGTTAAAAAGTTTAGTATCAACCAATGGAATTAAATTGAAACTATTTGACAGAAATGTTAACCATAGAGACAATGTGCCGCACAAAGGTTTATGCTTCCATGGATCATGGTCATCTCATGTTACTCTTTGTGGATCATTATATGTGTAAATTTCAATGTTTTCTGTCAGCTCTGTATCTTTTGAACTGATGGAAGAAAATTAAGACTATTTTTAAAAATATTAACTCAGGAGTGCAGAACTCATGTTTCATCCTTCTCAGTTTAAGGTCAAGTTTGAACATAGTCATTTAAAATCTTAATTTAAAAAAAAAAATTCAAGGGAGAATAGTACTTTCTTAGTATACATTAAAGGAAGAGTACTCTGTACATACTGTTATGTATTTTACAGTCATGAAGCAAGTGATTGAAAGCCCAATATTGATTTTTTCTGCTTTTGAGGTACATGTATATTTTATGATTTTTTAGCTCACCTGAGCTAACTCAGGGTGAGCTTTAAGGTCGTTGAATGTCGTTGAATGTCGGTCGTCTGTCCACACTTGTTCGTTAACGCTAGCGGTCACATTTTTGCCTCAATCATCATCAAACTTTGTCAGGATGCTTGTTTAGGTAACAGGTAATTTAGGATGGGTTCAAAGATGGGTCATCTCGAATGAAAAACAAGGGCTAAAAATAAAAAAATCTTGTTAACGCTCTAGTGGCTACTGTTTTGATCCAAATATCCTGGAAATTGGTCTGAAAGCTTGTTTTGATGATTTCTAGGTCAAGTTCAAATATGGGTCACCTGGGGTCAAAAACTAGGTCAGACTGCTCAAATATGGATAATCCTTGTTAACACTCTAGTGGTCACATTTATGACTCACCTGTCATGAAACTTGGGCAGAATGCTTGTCTAAGTAATTGTTCGGATGAGTTTGATGGGTCAGGTGAGCGATCTAGGGCCATCTTGGCCCTCTTGTTAAAAACATTTTTTGGACTCTAAAATTTCAATTCAGAAATACACAGGATAATATATCTATCATATAATAAAAGAAACAAGAGGTACAGTATGGAGCTTTACAATTTGAAAATAAACTGTTTTGTTACAATTTCTTGTTATAGTGAGGACATTTAATATAGAACATGTTTTGAAAAAATTCATGAATGCAAAGTCTGTTTCCTTCTTTAAAGATTTTTTGATCATTGTTACTTACAAGGTTGCATTCTGTGTTTATTGCCCTGGCTTAATTTGCTGTGCTCTTGTTTTGAATGTCAGGTTTAATGTGATGTTATGTATTTCTTATATATTCCTTGTTATTCTAAAAAAAACATATTTACCTTTACTGAATTCTCGAAATGGACTTGGCTGCCTTCAATTTTGGAACTGTCTAGATGAAAATTTTAAGAGTTAAGTGCCTCAATTTTAAATTCGCTTCTGAAAGAGAGTTTGGATAGCAGGGATCAAACTTGCAACCCCTGGATGTTTAGTTATACAGTGCTACCACTGAACTAACTGCATCCATTTAAGCATAGATTTATTTCACCCTTCAGCTGCTGAATTTCTTAAATTGTCTATTCCTGATTTCTTTTCATCAATATGTCACAGGGTGAGAAAAATGTGCAGCCTGACAGGTACTCGAACCCTGGACCCTGTGAATACCGTTCTGCAATTTACCGACTGAGCTATCTCCCTAAAATTGTGGACAGTTTTGAACCATGACATACTCAATCCCCTCTATATTGAAATTTGTCTTTGAATTTCACAAACATACATAGCAATGTAAATTAAACTCTTGAGCTTAAATCATGTAGTCACAGACCCCTGTTAGGGGCCAAATGTCACAGAGTGAGGAAAATGTGCAGCATGGGACTCTCGGAATACCGTATTGCGGCTCAACCCCGCTGCTTACACATTATCTCCCCTAATTTGTGAACAGTCCTGAACCGTGACAAATATTTGGGGATATCAAGATAAATATTAAAATTTAATCAAACAAAAATATAGAGCCAGGCCAGTCTGCACAAATGTTTAGACTGGCCTAGCTCTATACTGATGGCAATGCCTTATGAGTTTTTTTGTTTTTTTTTCAGCAAGTTAAAGGTTTAAGCCCTCGATAATAGTGTATTTGCAACAGCCATATTAATCTCTTAATCCAATTGTACTTGTCTATTGGTGACTGGTAAAGGTGGTCAGTTTTAATTGATTGATAATTGAGGGTAAGGATCACAGCACAAAGTAAAGTTCCTAACATTACTGTACAATAATTTATCCAACTGTAACAATGTGACAAAAAACAGGGTCACATGATATTTTTTTCACACACTCACAAGATAACAGTTAATGCCCAGTTGTTTTCATGTCCATTTTATAGTAAATAAAATTGACCAACAACATTTTGAATTTAGTTCTTAGCAAATGCATTATATGTAAGTAGCCTATTTATTCATAGGGAAACATAATAATGTTAATTTAAACTGTTAATTTACTTTCTTGTATGTTTAATTTAACAACTTTATTGTCAAGTTTAGGTATTCCTGTAATGATGAATTTCAAAGTTGTCAACTTGCAATTAAATTTGTAAACACATTCACATTATACATGTACTGTAAACATAAATACATAGCAATTTTGTTTTTTTAATTTTTAGGTGGGTTACAAAGTGGCTACAGAAGACAATTATTTGAGAGAGCCAATGGTATAATAACCAAGAATATCTTGCAAGTTGGACATGAGGCAAAACAGACATACTTGATGTTTAATTCAGAGACTTTATCCAGTTGATGAACTGGTAAGTGAGTTTAAGAGTTTACTGCTTGTGATTCTCTTTAAAATTTTACGAACTTTTTTTTGCGCCCATTTTAGGGGGAGGGGGAGCATTTAGATTTACCCCTGTCTGTCCATTCGTCCATCCATCCTTCATGTTCTAATTTTGTGTCGCACATAGCTCAAAAAGTATTTGACATAGAGTCTTGAAACCTTACAGGGATATTGCTCAGCATGTGAAGTTGTCCACGCGAAGTTGTGCACCTGAAATTTGCTTGTGGATTTATTCTGTTTTGTTAGAGTAATTGCCCTTGACTTAGTAAAAATTTGCAATTTTCAACTTGTGTCACACATACCTCAAAAAGTACTTGAACTTGAGTCATGAAACCTTACAGGAATATTGCTCAGCATGTGAAGTTGTGCACCTGGGTATTTTCGAGTGGATATATTTAGCATTTTTAAAGTTATTGCCCTTGACTTAGTAAAAATTACAATTTTCAGCTTGTCCATGCATAGCTGAAAAAGTATTTGACCTGCAGGCCTGAAAGTTTACAAGAATGTAGGTCAGCATATGTACTTATGCACCTTGGGGTTCGCTTGTGGATTTATCCAGTATTTGTAGAGTTATTGCCCTTTACTTAGTAAAAACTATTTCATTATGTTGTGTTATTTGTTCCTCCAGTGCTTGAGTTAGAATCAACCAACTTTAAAGGAATAATGATCAACATCACTGTGAAGCTATGCACCTGGGATTTGCATGTTGATTTTTTCAGTTCTGTTAGAGTTACTGCCCTTGACTTATTATAAATTTGCAATTTTCAACTTGTTCATGCATAGCTCAAAAAGTGTTTGACTTGTAGGCCTGAAAGTTTACAAGAATGTTGGTCAGCATGTGTACTTATGCATCTTGGGATTCGCTTGTGAATTTATTCAGTATTTGTAAAGTTGTTGCCCTTCACTGAGTAAAAGATTATTAGTTTTTAACTTGTGGCACATGTGATGTAGCCTGAAAAATATTTGACCTAAAGTCATAAAATTGACAAATCAGTGGAGTGTGGGGGCACCCGTGTCCTATGGACACATTTTTAGTTTACGTTTGAATTTGAAATTTTAACATGTTAAGAAGCTAAAAACTTCAAATGTAACCTGCCTTTGCAGATAGTGGCGGCATGGCTGTGTGGTTAACGGGTCAGACTAGTAATCTAATGATCACTAGCTGCATGGGTTCAAACCCCTTCAGGGGCAAGTCGTTTCCTTGAACAAAAAATTTTACACTCATTGCTCAGTACTGGTTGATTCTAGGAATGGATTCGAAAGTTTGTCTATAAGCTTATAGCTTCCTACACAATCAAACTAAAATAAATTCTATCAAAAAATTTTATCAAAAAGGCGAAAATCAACCATCTAAATGACACAAAACACAACTCTTCACACGAAATAATACCGTTAATCGTCACTAACAACCCAAGATTACCTAACATTAACACAATCATTAACAAATATGAACATTTACTAAAAACCGATTCTAACCTAGCAGATTTAACTAAGCACAGAATTTTAACAGTTTATCGTAAACCTGACAATCTTAGGAACATCTTAGTGAGATCTTCCGATCCTAAAATCATAACATATCCCTCAGGTTCCAATATCTGCTACCGAAATTGTATAGCATGTTCTCTCTTAAAACCAAAGCTTAATGTCAAAATTAACACAACTGGAAAAACGTTCAAAATTAAAGGATCTTATGATTGTACAAGTAGCAGCATCATCTACTTAATTTCATGCCTAAAATGCGGCATCCAATATATAGGTCAGTCGGGTAACACAATTCGAGAACGTCTGTATGGACATATTAATGACATACGTAATAAAAATGACGTAAAACCTGTCTCTAAACATTTTTCCGCCAACGGACACAACATTAAAGACGTCGACGTCACAGTTCTAACAATGACACCTAGGAACATAAACATCCGCCTTAGAACAGAAGAAACCTACATTGAATTATTTAAAACGAAATCACCTAACGGACTTAACTTAATACAATAATGGAAATAACAGATATGAAAAAATATTCCAAACAAGTACCAGCACCGGCAGATTCATTCAAACTTATATCAAAAAATTTACGGCAATGTTCAAAATGTAATAAATTCATCAAAGGATCCAAATCAAACTTCAACCGACACTACAAGACACATGAGAAAACAATTACGATGTTCATATGCTTCCATTGTGATCAAGAATACACAAGAAGGGACATTCTTAAAAGACACTGCCGTAAAATACACGGCATGGAAATGCAAAGATACAAAACCAAAACGGAGAAAAGAACACCTGACTTAGACGAAATCAAACCAGTAAAACCATGGCAACCACCTTTTGAATGTACATTAAACACGAAACCAACAATTATACCGAAATTTCGAATCGTTCAAGGACAAAAAAATTGGCTAGCCAAAAAATTTACACCAGAAGTTAATTGCACACAAATGATAAAGGAAATGACAGTAGAAGAACCACTATCACCATTACCGGACTCTCCATTTAGATCCAACGAAAATTCGCCGACACATACAATCTCAGATGTAACAATTTGCCAAGACGAAAAAGACGATTTTCTATACACAAAACACATGGACATAATGATTTACTCGATCTATGGTATTTTTAATTAAATAAACAACAACTTCACAATAACTATAAACATTTATTATTATTATTTTTTAATTATTCATACAAATAACTATATACGGACAAAAGAACCACCAAACAATAATTTCTATAAATAGATTTGATCACGTGACAAAAAGAACCGTCAAAACTGTACCTTAGATGAAAAATTCTGATATATCTGTACCCTGATGAAGGCTATTGAATAGCCGAAACGTAGGTCATAAATAAAATTATAGAAACCTGACCCACTTTGTTTCGTGTGTTTCACATTCCTTATTCTTTTTATTAAAATAAATTCTGTATATAAAATAAACCAGAATTAAGATTTAGTTGTTACAATAATTTCGCAAACCCTGTAATTGTACATGTGTACATTTTTCTACATAATTTGATGCATTGGGTGACTCGGTTGTTAAAGTTTCTGCAAAATATCTCTTGCTGTTGAATGCTTCTAGGGACTTTGAATTAATTTGTGTGTTTCTTAAAACTTGTGTTTCTTCAAAAATGTAGGTACAGCCAGGAGTATAGGTAAGGTACAGTTTGGTGAAAATTATTAGTGCAAAGCTTGATAAAAATGTTCCACAACAAGTTAAAATGGTTTCGTTTCCTGCAGAGAAAAGTTTTAATGATTTAAAGATATTTAACTATTTTCAAAATTGTTTAAAAAACATTTGTATCGAGAATTATATTGACAATAAATGTAACAGATCAATAGTAGAAGGTCTTTGTAAAATGGAGAGGGTGGAACCCTGGCGTTGGGTCTGGATTACACATTTGGTACCACCTCACTTATTTGCTATATCCTTTGAGGTATTTTACTTTGAGACTTTGAATACTTGTTAGTGACCAACATGCCCATTTTGCTTTGGTAGTTTAGCACGGAGGTAGGTAGTCTAGTACTGGTGTAACTCTCCAGGAACGATGGTTAGGAAACTACCCGCCTATATGACTGAAATACTGTTGGGAAAAGGTGTAAAATGAAACAAACAAACATGCCCATTTTGGCAAGATAACATAAATCTGGCATAGATATTGACCAAGTTATGCCCCTTATTCAACGTTCTGGACCCCTTGACTTTTAGTTAGACAGTGTTTTCACTGAACTACTGCATAGCAATTCTATCAAACGTCTATTTCACCCTTTATCTGCTGAATTTCTTAAATTGTCTATTAAGAACTATCCATTATCAATATGTCACAGGGTGAGAAAGAGGACCCTTGGAAAAAACGTACCTCGGCTCTACTGACTGAGCAGTTTGGCTGCTTACACACAATCTCCCCTAATAAGTGAACAGTTCTGATCCATGACAAATATTTAGGGATATCAAGATGAAAATTAAGATCTAAATCAACCAAAACTTTAGAGCCAGGCCAGTCTGCAAAGTTAATGCCCAGTTATTTTCATGTATATGTAGTAGTAAGTACAATTGACCAACAGCATTTTGAATTTAGTTCTTAGCAAAATTAATGCTTTACATGTAAGTAGCCTATTTATTCATAGGGAAACATAAGAATGTTAATTTAAACTGTTAATTTACTTTCTTGTGTGTTTATTTTAACAACTTTATTGTCAAATTTAGGTATACCTCATGGCTCCAATTTTACTTTTTTGGCCACTAGCAATTTTTTGCTAGTGGACAAATTTTTAACTAGCAAAAACTATGGAACAGAATTAGTGCATTTATTCCATCTTGCTTTATGATATCGGAACTTACATTATGCTCGCTTCTATACTTCTTTATGACAATGAAAACCTGCGTTTTGCTGAATTCAATCATGCCTTATGATTACTGAATGCACTTTCATGTAATTGCAACCTTGTGTGTTCCCTACTAAACCATCAAACTCACATATTTTAATATGCTATACGTTTAATTGCATCTTTTTTTAAGGACAACGTATTATGTTTGGTGTTTAAGATAACATTCTTTATAACTATATGTAACATGGTAGATGTATCTTTAATTTGCTATAAATCTGCCACTTATATTGTAGACATTATGTCAAAATAAACTGTTCATTTCGATCAATAATTGGCGAATTTGATGTGTCTTAGCATTCATATGCTTCAATATATTCACTGATTTCAAATATGATGCAATACATGATCACTGCGCATCGACAACTAAGATGGCAACGATAGCGATATTATAGTCGCATGTGACAGTACGCACTAAGCAGTTGGCAGTAAGCGTAATGCGAGTTGCAATAATCTGTGTTCATATTATGACAGCAGGTGTCGCTTTGTCGGTACATCCCGTTATTTTCCGGATGATCCCGTATTTTGGCACGTGGAGTAAACAAAGTTACGTCCACTTTATATAGGGGCGTATACAGAACAGTGTTAGTTGGGGACAGACATGTAAAGTAAATGTACTGAAAAACAAGAGAACACGATGCGACAGACGAAAAGTGCGTGTTTTTGAAGATTCCGCCAGCATTTGGAAAAAAAAAAGTTATATATGTCTCTAATAACTCATCCTAAAAGTGGCAACTCACCTCTTATACAATTGTTTACACTTCGTGATAAGTGAAATTGAATTTAATCAAACTTACAGTGGCACAAAGGTGACATGTGTGTGTTTTTATTTATCTCGTGCGCACGAGATACTGTGTCGTGGCCACAGGTTACTAAGTCGTGGCCACGAGATAGTTAAGTCGTGGGAACGAGATACTATGTTGTGGCCACGAGTTACTAAATCGTGGCCACGAGATAATTAAGATGTGGGAACGAGATAACTAAGTCGTGGTCACGAGTTACTAAGTCGTGGCCACAAGATAAATAAGTCGTTGGAACAAGTTACTATGTTGTGGCCACGAGAAAGTTTAGTCGTGGCCACGAGGCAGTTAAGTCGTGCGAACGAGATAAATAACAAATCAAATTAAACTATTTATATGAATTTTCCTAACAAGGATACTTCACTTGCCCGTAAAAGTGCCATTTATACAAGTTATTGATTGGTCAAAATTTTTGGTTTTAGGGAAAAATTTTGCCCCTGGTTTAAGGAAAATTTGGAATTTTTAATCCCCTTTGGCTGGGGCGGGGGCTACTAGACTGGAATATTCACTAGCCCAAAAAGACATTTCACTAGCATGATTCACTTGTTCAAAAAAACCCGGAGTTCTTGAAAATACAGTAGCCTGGTTGGGCTTGTTACTTTGAAAACTTGGTAGCCGAGGAGAAATTTAGTAGTCAGGGGCTATAGGACTACTGCTAATTTTCGAACACTGTCATTGTGACCCTGATTTCTGACCAAATTGCCTAAAAATTATTATGTGTCATCTACTGATCTTTTGTTAGGTTATATAAACTACGGCTTATTCTTTCTAAATCATTCATCAGACAAGGATTTTACATGAAGTGTCATGTTTATCTGACCTGTGACCTCAAACATCCTTATGGGATATCTACTGTCCATGGGCAATGTCCCTTCCCAATAAAATAAACCAGGACTAAGTCCCTCTCATGTTATCGTATAAACAAGGTTAACAGGGTCGCTGTACGAACAACCTGACCAATTCTATCATAGAATTTTCCCAACAAAGGGCTATATAACTTAGTCAAAATTAATGTTTGATTTATGGGCCTTAAAAGGTGACTTTCTAATATGAACCTAAAGACATGTATCAAGTTTAAAGTGAACACTTTAAAATTTTCAAAGATTAATGTTGCACGTAAATCTTTAAACAGAAATTTTTTAAGTTTAAAAAATCATGGTGTATTTTTATTTAACCCTTTCCCCCATGAGCATATTGTGAAAAATGGCCGTTTTCACTGAAAAGCCTCCTGTTACAAGTTCAAACTGCTATAAAACTATGAAAAATGCTTAAATACTAATCAAACTTGGCACACATATTGACTGGACCTTTGCCTTTGTAACGACATGCTCAGTCTTAAATTTCCTGTTACCATGGCAACGAGGGGACATCTCAAAATTGCCAAAAAATCACTATTTTGCCTCGATTTTTTCCATCAAAATTTATTTCAAAGTGCTGCAACTGCTCAAGGGATTGAGATAGAGTCAAAGGCTTTTCAGCGTTGGTTAAACCTTACATTATGATCGACCTGGGGTCATTTTTAGCCTCTCACAAGTCCAAAATTTTCTTGGCGATGAGGGGGACTCCGCCCCCTTCAAACCCCCCCTAACAGAAGGGGGCACATCCCCCTTCTGGCAACCCCCTGATGCATCTTTTGGATGGGGGTCGGCGCCGAAAAAGTGCTCAATTTTTTAAGCAACATTTCTCAAACGAAAACTTATGTTTGGGGCCCAAATAGGACCTTTTTTCACTATTTGAGGCCTAAAAAAAAGGGGGGGGGGGGTCGAAAGTGCGTTGTTTCGCGTATATATGTGGTAAAGGGTTAATTATCTCGTCTGCACGACTTAGTTATCTCGTTCCCACGACTAAAACGACTTAGTAACTCGTGGCCGTGACATAGTATCTCGTGGCTACGATATAGTATCTCGTTCCCACGACTTAACTATCTCGTGGCCACGACTTAGTAACTCGTGGCCACGACACAGTATCTCGTGCGCACGAGATAAATAAAAACACACACATGTCACTTAGTAACTCGTGGCCACGACTTAGTACAGTACAAACTTGATTTTTTTTTGTAAAATAAAATAAATATAATTTGGCTTCACACAAACATTGCGCTTTAAATCCTTTACACTGTAAGTGGGCAATATGAATATTCATGAATAGTGTTATTACAAAAATATGTATTTATTTTCTTTCCACTGCAATTTATGTATTAAGCTTGGTACGTATTTATACCATTGTCGTATTTGAACGTATAACCACGATGGCCCTAACGGTATTCCGTAATATATACATGTTCGGAAAATTCCGATGATAGGCGAATCATGGAAAAAATCCGTTGATATCGATAACAGAGTTCTCGCCCCTTAACAGTTCACAAATCGCTAGACATTGTTTAAATTGTTTATCATAATGTAAGATGATCAAACATAATCCACAAAGCCTCAGACACCGAGCTTTATTAAGCATAAACACTGAATAATGGATATAAGCGAAAGCTAATAGTAATCACGCCATGAGAGCTGTAAATCAAATAAGTCACATTTTAACAAAATCCACCAGGGAACAAAAAATAGTCAGCTTTAAATGACTTCTACATAAAAGTAATACAAAAAAACTAAACCGTAAATGGTTTGTATAGAGCATGAAGAAAGGTAGCTTATACATAAAGGTATATGACGTTAACATTTTAGTATTCCAAATGGCTTGTTCCAGTTTAATAGTTATCACTCAATGAAAGAATTGGTCACTACGAAATGTTTGAATGAAATAATGAAAAATGGAATCCAGAATAATGCAACGTTTAAATATCATAAAGCAAGATGGAATCAATCATAATGCAAGATCTAATGTCATGTAGCAAGATGGAATTAAGCATAATGCAAGTTCCAATGCCATCATGCAAGATAGAATTAAGCATAATGCAAGTTCCAATGTCATCAAGCAAGATAGAATAAATGCATTAATTCTGTTCCATAAAAAACTGAATTCAACTAGCACTTTTTACAACAATGATTTTTTAATTCAAAAATTGTTTGAAAATGTAATTTATTTGGTCGAGTTCGAACTGCTCGGGGTACGAATCAGCAACGTAACTTTCTACTCAAAAACTTGATTTAGGGGTCAGGGATTCTTATCAAATGTCAATCTACATGTAAAAAAAATAATAATGCAATATTGTCGCCATACCGACAATGTCTGGTCAGGATTATGCGCACAACAATTGGCGCAAAATATTTTGGCAACATTTCCATCGTCATCAAGTTAGTACGTAAGACTGACATGCAGTTCTTTCTCCCAATTTTTAACCGTTTTAACTGAAGGTCTGATTGTCTTTCTTTTGATAGACTGTGAATCATCTTCTGTACTCAGAAGACAAATTAGCTTCAGTAAGTGGGAAGAAGTTTGTTACGTTTAGACATTTTATTCCGATCACGCTTGATTTACACGGACAAAATGACATTTGGACTGGTTTAAATTTGTGTACTTTTTTAAGCGAGGTTAAGGTATAGAAAATGTAAACCAGACAGCAAGTGCGCGCATAGTTTATATCTCGGCTACCTGCGAATATTACGCCCCATTTATATTTCAGATTTTCATGACGAGCGTATTCAATATTTTCTTCAACTCGCAAAAAATTGCGAGTAGTTTTAAATCTAACTCGCAAAATCATTTTTCAACTAGCATTTCGCGAGTTTGCGAGTGTTAAATTCGAGCCCTGATACCTGTAATGATGAATTTCAAAATTGTCAAACACATTCAGATTATACCTGTACAACATTAATAGCAAAATGTTTGTATTTTTATTTTCAGGTGGGTTACAAAGTGGCTACGGAAGACAATTATTAGAGAATATGTTGAAAGTTGCACATGAAGCAAAACAGAAATTCAGAGACTTTATTCAGTTGATAAACTAGTAAGTGAAGATTAAGAGTTTACTGATTGTTATTCTCTCCACTGAGGTTTTTTGACATGATGGGACTGAAAAGATTTTTTCCAGACAAATATACCATTTGATGTAAGTTTAGACCACTAATATTTGTGCAAAATTTCAGATTGTTCACTCTCTTTGTTTTTCCAGAATAATTATTCAAATTGTAAAAAAATGACCCAAAATGAAAAACGTTTAAATGCTTTTCACTCAAATCGGGCTAAGAAAAACATAAAAATACGATTTTCAATTTATTTCTAAGTACATTTCTTAACTATCTTTGCATATATTTCTGTTTAAATCGCCCCAGCTCATCAAATTTTATGTTTTTAGGCTTTTAAACCTCAGTGGAGTCCCTTTAATAAAATTTACATTTGAATTTGAAATTTTAATGTGTCAAGAAGTTAATAGTGTGATTTTGTGTGACTTCAAATGTAACCTGCCTTTGCAGACAGTGGCAGCAAGATCAAGTTGTTAACATGTCGGACTAGTAAGCTAGCCGCATGGGTTCAAACCCCTTCAGGGGTATTAGTTGTTGTTTCCTTGAACAAGAAACTTTACACTCATTGCTCAGTACTAGTTGGTTTCTGGAATGGATTTGAAAGTGTGTCTGTAACCTTTAAATTAAGCTTCCTACGCAATCAAACTAAAATAAATTCTGTATATAAAATAAACCAGAATTATGATTTTGTTACAATAATTTTGCAAACCCTGTAAATTAGTATGTGTAATATTTCTACATAATTTGATGCATTCTGGTGACTTGGTTGTTAAAAATTCTGCAAGATATCTCTTGCTTCTGTGGACTTTGAATTATTCTGTGTGATTCATAAAGGGTATTATCTTATGAAATTTTCTTATAAATTTATCAAAAGTCAAACTATATTGGTGCCTCCGTGGACGAGGGGTTAGAGTTGATGACTTCTAATCCAGATACCTCTCTGGCATGGGTTCTATCCCCAAGAGATGCTTTGGTAGTTTAGCGCGGAGGAAGGTAGTCTAGTACTGGTGTAACTCTCCAGGAACGGTGGTTAGGAAACTATCCGCCTATATGACTGAAATACTGTTTGGGAAAAGGCGTAAAATGAAACAAACAACAAAACTAAATCCATTATTGTATGGTTGATTCCTGAAAAAGTTGTAACATAGAATGTCTCAGTTATTTAATACACATGAATAATGAACATAAACAGAATAATGGCGGCATGGCCGAGTGGTTAACGCGTCGGACTAGTAATCTTATGATTGCTAGTCGCATGAGTTCAAACTCTGTCAGGGGCAAGTCATTGTTTCCTTGAGCAAGAAACTTGCACACATACATTGCTCATTACTGGTTTGTTCCAGGAATGAATTCGAATATGTGTCTATAAGCTTATAGCTTCCTACACAATCAAACTAAAATAAATTCTGTATATACCAAACAGAACAAAATGTTCCGGTACATTAAATATTATTTTGCTATTTAAGAAGGGCTTTATCCGTTTAGCAATGATTTTCTGCATGCATTGCTTTTAAGGCAATAAATTACCATATTTATTTTATACAAGCATTTTGGAAGTATACTTTTTTTGAAAATTCAAACAATAATTTTTCCATCTGTTATATACATGTAGCTTTATACACTTTAAAACTTGTCTGCAAAAATGTTAACTTGTGTGCCTGCAAAAAATGTACGTACAGTCAGGAGTAAAGATAAGGTACAGTTTGATGAACTTTAAAAAGATGTTTCATATACAGTGTAAATGGCCCTTTGTACTTTGTAGTGGAATAACATCTTTAAAGACCTTTTTGGAAGTTTTCATATAGACATATCGGCAAAATTAAAACTGTTCAATAGACTTTATTAAAATTTGGCATGTTGTTAAAATATGATAATGGTAACATTTTAAGCAAAAAAAAGGGGGGGGGGTCACCGTTCTCTTTGTTGAATGATTAAATCAAAGGCAGATAATTCACAATAAAAGTAAACAAAACCTTTTTTCTTGCCTATTTTATATAGTTTACTTCCATTTGAGTCAATGTGCATAATTTTAATAAAGGATAAAGAGTAAATAGATTGGCTTTTTTCCCCTTCTTTTCTAAACCTGTGACTTTTTTTACTTAAAAATTGGACTATTTTTTAAAAAGAATTTTAAGTACCTTTATTAAGACTAAAAAAATAACAGAAATAAGATGGAATTACCTGTAATCATGTATTGTTATAACAAAAGAAAAACATCCAGAAGTAAAAACAAGATTATACAGACACGTAAGTTATCTGCTCTTAAAATGACCTCAAAAAAATTCTGATTCAAGGCAGATAACTCAGAAGTGACCCTCAAATTTGTTTAGCTTTGACAGAAAAGTTTCATTACAAGGTTATTTCCTTTGTTTTAATCATTTTATTTTATAAACTTTTCTATAGATTTGGTTGAAGTTTATGAGATTCATCATCCCTAGCTTTAAATGACTTGTGGAATCCCCTATAATTTCCTGTCAATGTACATATCTAACATTAAGGTTGACTCTGCCATTTCCTATACAAACCTAATATTTAGCTTGCCTTTATGCCATTTTCTGCACTATAGCAATATCTTTAATTTCATGCCATTTCCTGCACTGTAAGATTTTTAACGAGTGTATATCAAAATCCCCTTGATCATAATCCCCTTGGTTGAAAAATGACATAGTGATCGAAATCCCCTCAACAGAAATGACCGGGTGTTCATAATCCCCTTGATGGATAGTCAAAATCCCCTTGGCAAAAATGATGGGGTGGTCAAAATCCCCTCAACTTGTGAAAAACAACCCCCTTTACTCAATATTCCTTTTCCTTTCCTTTTGTCACTCCAGCTTAACTATTGTGTTACATAAAGAAATGTTGCAAACAGCAGTTACATTGAGTAGAGGAAAGAGTATTCATGTTAATATAAAATATAAAACCAGACATAATATTTCACTCTTATTTATTTTCCCACCGCATTGAGGACTTATTTTCATTTTTCTTTGTGTAGGCATAACCTTCATACAGAAGCTTACGAGAACCTTTGTTACTTGTAATGAATTCCATTTTGGGTATTCATGTCTATTGCAGAGAGCCATCATATTATATACCCAACAAAATAACAGTTTGCAGTTAAGTAAAACAAAGATGAAGTAATTTTAGATAGCAAACTGCAATTAATAGCCTCATTTTAAGTTATTATCTGGAAAGATCTAAAGCTAGTGTGCAACAAATTTGCCTTTAAAGGTGTTTATCATTGCAAAGATTAATTGATTGTTTGTTACATATAACTATAATTGCAATGATTAATTATAATCATCTATCATTTATTTGTTTGTATTTTACAATTTTCTCAGCAATAATAACATCAATAAAGGGTGTCATTATTAACTGGCTGTGACAAACATACACCTTTTAATTGTTTGTATGCTTTTCTCTTTTTTTTCAGCAATTCTTGAAGCAGTTGGTTCTTAAATTCATTGAACTAAAAAGAAAAATAAGAAAAGAAATTATTTGAGGGGATTTTGACTACCCACTGAGGGGATTATGACCACCCCTTTATTTTTGCCAAGGGGATTATGAACACCCGGTCATTTCTGTTGAGGGGATTTCGATCACTATGTCGTTTATCAACCAAGGGGATTATGATCAAGGGGATTTTGAGCGTCTCCCTTTTTAACACATTACCTACACATTTTCATATCTCAAACATTAAGGTTGACTTGATGCCATTTTTTGTACATGTCTCTTAACATTTATACTCAGGACTCTCGCATTTGGGTGATTTGGGCGACTTCGTGGTCTTAAGTTTCTGACCTTCGCTGAGTTTGAACATTAAAGCGAAATCGTCTTCACAGCGCTTTTTTACTTACTGCATATCACACAGGGCATGTCAATAAAATTAATCCTCGCCTCCAGGCGTAAATCAAACTGAATTGGTGACACAGTTACTGCAGATAATTGACAGCAATTACATGTAACACATTCAAGTGAAATGATATGCAGATGCATCACACATATTGCTCTTTAATTCCCCAATGTACTGTAAGGCCATTATTTTTTGATATTTCGGTTTACAGACCCGCCGACTCTGTATTTTGGGAAAATAAAAAAAAAATCTGCCCCCCAAAAAATTCTGTGTTGTCTTGAAATACGCTGCTAATAATACGACTTGTCAAAGAAATGTCGCGGTAAGTATTTTAATTAACTGTTAAACCTACCACATGCCAGACTATTTTACCTACGATTTATATACGCAACCGGTTATCTTTACTCGAGAATAGCCTGTCGTAGCCTGTCGTCTGCTAGTTGGGCAAAGTGTTTATTGGTGTATTATGAAAGAATGTCTGTTAAATGGGGTCAAGCCATTCTCACAGAATTATAATTAGGCTTTGATCATATTTCATCAATGCATTGAAGGTCGAAATGCGTATAAATGTTAAACAACCAAACAACCAAACAAAAAAAAAAAAAAACACGCCAAATTACGTAAGCAATTACATTCAAGGACAGAGCGAGAGAAATCTGCTGCAATTGACAAGATCAGTATTTTCAGATTTAACAAGAAAAATTAGTCTTTAAAAGCAGATTGAATACAGGTTTCAAACAAACAAAATAAAAAAAAATGCCCGCACTTACTTTTAATAGATTTTTATGTCAAAAATTGACCCGCTAATTATCCGATAAAAATATTTTCACAATGGGCAAAATTGAACATGACTTTGTGTTATCTTTTCTTGACAGTTTTTTTTTAACATCTGATCTATAAAGAAATGAGTGCAAGTCAGCTGATTTTCGGCACCTTTGATGATTCAGATTACACAGCAGTGTGTAAACATCAAAGAATGACAGATTCTTTTGAAGAGCTCGCTTGCCACTTGTCATAAGTCATTGTGTGTAGATTTCATGTGTGTTTTTAAACAATGGCAATATGAGCAAAAGTTTTTTTTTGTGTATTTAAACAATCTTTGGAATAGACAATCGGCGATGTATTTAATTTCATT